ACCCCAGGTTTTTGAAGGTCACTGTAAACCCTCTTTCATCAAAACACAAATATATCTGCATTTCTCAAAGCTGTGGAAATATCACTGAAAACAGAAAGCAGATGTAAAACAGAGGCAGAGATGCCTGCTTGAATAAATAAACGGCATGACATATTAGCTCTGAGGTCTGAACATTAATCTTGAAGCGGAACTTTACAGAACCAAATTCTGCAGCCACAGCATCAATCATTTTTCCATTATGCTATGGAACTGAATATTTGGGTTAGATGAAGTAAAAGGGTCTGAACTCAACCACTGCAACAAGTGGTGCACAGAGTATTACGGAAACCAGAGTGTGTTGGCAGCAGCTTTGATATGTGCAAAAAAACGCACAAGTCTCAGCTTACATCCACTGTGTTAAAATAAGCCAATATGCAAAACTTCCAGTACTAACACACAAATATCCTTTAAAGTTAAACTTCTGTCATCACAGACATCAGCTGCCCAGAACTTTACAAGAAAAACTGTCAGCATTTATTGCTGTTTTCTCTTTACATATGACAAGCAGAATCAGTCTGGCATTGCCCGTGAGCGCCCGTCTTCGGATACACAAAACCCGTATTTCTCTCAAAGTCAGACTCTAATAATAAAACCTAAATGGCTTTCATGATGTTAAAGTAAAACAATTATTACAAACGCATAGGCTATAATAATCTAATTACCCAATTTAATCCAAAGGAACACGAGATGGAAGCTAACCAAATTCAGCTTCCCCAGTGTCCTCCAGTGTATCTTTTAAAAGCATAATGGTTTCAAGAGCATTTTTCCCCTCCCCGCATGTCTATTGGGGTAGGCCACTCAAATGTGTGGGGAGCTCCCTGTTCCCTGCCTGGTCCCCAAGCTCTGGTCCAGTGTAGCCGGAGGCGGGTGCTCAGCAGCCGACCGCAAGGCAGCTCTTCCCATGCACCAAACCAGAAAGCCAGCACTGTAGAAAAAGTTTCCGTGCAAAGAGAAGTACCTGGGGAGATCAAGCACCTCCAGAAACAAGCAAGAGCAGAGTGTGATTTCTTTTAGGCGTGAACTTTGGACTTTGTGCCAGAGGTTGATATTAGTCATTTCTAGACATTGTGAGGATATTTCAGTGTTATTGTCTTCCAGCCTACAGGTCCCTCACAATAAATATATCCAAGCTATGACTTTGCACACTGCTTTACTGTTCTGACCTACTCAATTCTCGCAGTATTTATCACCTGAAAAATTTTGCAAACAAATGATCTTGTATTTTCTTCCTCACAGAAAATAAAAATATTAACTTTTTAAAAAAAAAAAACAGAACTCAAACTTCAAACATTTTATTAGGAATGTATTCATCTGAGTTCCCAGGACTGATTTTAATTAATCTTTGCAATATTGATTTTGTTTTGTTTTTTTTAATCAAATGTTGTGCAGCAGTAAATCAAACAGAAAAATCCATTTTGTCCTACATCAGTCCAAAATTTTACAGCCATCACAAGACAGGTAATTTTGCTAAAGATTATTACTATACTGTTCACTTAAATATCTACTGTCCATTGAACCTTGTTGATTTGCATTCATTAATTTTGTGTCTCTTCTGTAATTCTTTATTGATAGAATCTTGTATCAGCTGTTTCCTAAAGCATACATTTCAGGCTAAACAGCTCCTCCTTACTTGGGTCACTTCGCTTAACTTTATTCTTTCATTTATTCATTCATTCGTTTAATATTGACACAAATGTGGCCTTCTAGTCATACAGAATTTCTGATTTTTTCCAAGGAATTAAAAAATTTACTATATATACACTTATTACATGTTTGGGAAAACGTTTCAGAAGATATAAGAAACAAACATAAGCAGCACTTCATGTCAAATATTAGCTAAATTAATAGTTATTTCATTGAAAACAAATTCTATTGAAATTCCAGGAAAAATGGACTTGAACTCACCAGGCGAGCGTGTGGGTTTCGGTGGTAATAAAGTTCTTTATATTCATCCATCCACACTTCAGCTGCACGCACACTGTTTGCCAAAGCTTTGGACCGGGAGTATGGAGCTTGTTTGGGGAAGACATGACCTACATGTGAGCATGGATGGATCTCAAGGCTTCCTCCACACTGCCATATCTGAACAAAGAATTAACATTGCGCATCATGAATTTGACTCTTTGCAAGCAGAAGGATACAGTAACAATAAGCCTCTGTAAGGATAGTACGTTCTCAAAAATATCACAACATACTATAGGCAACACATACAATAATTTTGTGTATCATTTGATGAATAAGCTGGATCAAATGACATCCTTGTGAACTCAGAGCAAACCACTGTGAATAACAAGGAGAAAACCCCATCTCTGGTTTTATCTGGTGTGCAATTATCCCTTTCTTAGCTTCACTTTCTCTGAAGTGCATGACAAGAAATAGCCTACAATATTTCTGTGGGTCTAACTGTGGTCTACAATTCAAGTTATACAGGCATTATTAAAAAAAAGTCATATTTCTTGTCCAAATAACTATGCAAATAGCTGTCTCAGAAAAAAAACAATGACCGATAACTGATTTCTTGCCAGAAATCTTTGCCCATATTCTACTGGAAAGCTGACCTGATAAAACAGGTAAGCTTGTCATATTGTTGGAGGATGATAAGTCGTGTTCCCGTTTCTATATTCACCATTTCAGAAGAGAGGCATGGGTGCCTGATCATAAAAATATAACTAACCTTTTTAATTGAAAAGCTGGGAAAGGAACCCCAGACCCAATGCATGAAAAGAAAAAGCGAAGTAATTCTGTAACTACCTCACTGTGGTCCAGCCAACATTAGTGAAACAACCTCCCCGGTCTAAAGCAATATTCCTACTTGCTGTAGAGTACTTAAACCTGAATGCGGAATTGGCAGTACTCACTCTGCCCTTGTCCTCATCCTCCTGCCGCTGGCTCCCCAGGCCAGGAGACGTACAGCCCTGGAGATAAAGCCCATAAATGACCACCAAGTAGATGCACTAGCCTCAGCACTCTGTGCAAATTCTTGTAATTATACTCTTCTCCTTTGAAAACCATGGACTTTTGGCAGCTCATCCACACAGCCACTTTCCTATCATCCGTTCTGATCTCAAGTTTGAGATAATGAAAGGAAAGCGCAGCTAAGTATTTCGTGTTTAATATTGTGCGTGACCACAATGTGGCAGACACCCTGTTTCTGAAGGGTGCCTGAAACAAGGTTTCTGAAACGTAGTCAGATGGGAGTAGTACACGTTGCTGCACTTGAACAAACTTGAGGCTATCACCAACGGCTCCAATAGATTTTCTGTAGAAGTTTTTTTGAGAACTGGCACTCCAGTGAGCTAATTCTCCTTGTGTATTCAACCGTGTGTAGGTGGCAGCTCATCTTTCCTTTGTAAATGGAGGACAAGGGAAATTAGCTGAGATATGTTTAAGGGGTGAAGAGGCTTGCTCCCTGACAACCTCCTTGTATAGCACATACATTTTAATTACACGTTATTCAAATTAACACAGCAGGAGTGAAAGCTATGAGGTAGCAAATAATAACAATGACAACAGATCAGTGATGGGACTTTTCCCATCTCTCTCCCTGGGACTTTTAAGGATCTAGAAAGTCACTACAGATGAAGGCTTTCAGCCTACACAAGATGGACGTTGTCTTCAGACTGCTTTTTTTTTTTAAATTACTTATGGATTTATCTCAAATTTCTTAATTTGGAAATGAATGAATGTTGTCTCTGTTGATTTGGTTTTGGATAATGATTTCAGACCTTCACACGTGGCACAATACTGTGCTTAGTAACAAAACTACAAGCACTCCAATACATATGTTTACTTTTAAAACAAACAGCTTCCTTAAAGGTATAGGTAATTCATTATTCAGCTGTAGGGAGCACTGGATAAACTTTACTTCCTGGATTTAAAACTTTCATTTCTTGCTTTGCATGAGAGGTTTCATTCTTCTTTTTTGTTGCTTTTTGGGGAAGCAGTATATTTGTCATATGAACAGAAAGATGATTAAAGGAATTATACAAGAAATCTAGAATTCTGTATTGATCTTTTAAACAATTTGCATATTTTCACATGTAAGTTACACTACTGCCATTTTGAAAGCTGCTAAGAAACCAGCTATCCGCTTTCACTTTAAGATCTCCCTTTTTGAGATTTGTTTCAAAGCAATAGCTTTCTTACATTATTATTTCTATATCCAAGATTAGTTTTTTAAAGTTGAAATTTATCATGCAAAATGTTTGTGTCAGCAAATATTAAGTGCCATTAAATTTATTAAAGTTTAACAATTTCCATATTCGATATATTCCATATAAGCATTTTTTTAATTGATCATTACTGTTTTGATCAGTCTGTTTTTAAACAGGATATGAAGAACGGACCATAAAGACTACTGAAGTAAAAATGTACAGTTAAGAATGAAGATCATTCTTCTGCTCTTCCATGATAAAGTCTGATTTACATGGAGTAAAACAGACTGACCATATCTCTGTTAAATTGCTGCCAAAAAGAGAACTCCACAACAGCTGATTTTTCAATAATTAAAATTCTGAATTTCTCTAAAAAAAAATAACTGTAGGTTTCTAAGCAATGCTCATAAAATTCTGCTTCTTTTATCAAAACAGTTTAAAACTTCTCGTCTTCCTATTACAAAAACATTAAGTACATTTCAGCTAAACAATTCCTCAAAAGGTTTATTTTTTTTTTTTTTTAATGGAAACCATTTCAACCTCTATATAAAATCTGGTACAAATGAAGAGCAAACAAGAGAGAGAAAGCAAGGAATTCACTACACTGCTTCTTTTATCAAAACAGTTTAAAACTTCTCGTCTTCCTATTACAAAAACATTAAGTACATTTCAGCTAAACAATTCCTCAAAAGGTTTATTTTTTTTTTTTTTTAATGGAAACCATTTCAACCTCTATATAAAATCTGGTACAAATGAAGAGCAAGGACAAGAGAGAGAAAGCAAGGAATTCACTACAGAAACCAAAGTTGACTACTAAATGCTAAATAAGTGACTCTGGAGAAGGTTCTCCCCTAAAACTATTTGCACCTCCTTTAACAGAGAAGCACATCAGATTTCGTGTATCGTTTGCATGTTTGCACGCATGAAAATGTTTCTTTATAAGGTCTGGCTAGCTCGCAGCTCATTATAAAAGTGTACTATTTTTCCTTCAGCACAAAAAGAAAACAAGGTGACATTCATTTCTACTTTCACTTTCATCTTGATGCATGCAGACTATTGCTATTTTTTCTTTTCTTTTCAGAAACAGATGGTGGCATTACGAAAAGCTACAATAAAAGCACAGATGTCACCTTGGGATCCCCATCCCTGCCAGGGTCTTTGGACAACTGACCAAATCGCTGGGTCAACGAACACTAAATAAGAAAAGCTTTATAAGCTCTGCCACCTCCATTCTAACATTTTAGGACCCTCTGAAAGAAATAAAAAATAAAAAGAAGATGCTACCTCCTGAACAAAGACAAACTGCGGAAAATACTCTATTCCTGCCCCTCTCTCTGCTGCAATTTTGCTTGCCAGCTTGTGGCTGAGCCCCCCTGCACGGCACTCATGCATGATCTACTGGGAGCTGGGTGGGCGGAGAGGCCTCCCCAGATGCGTGAACCCATCCCGGCTGCTCCCGCTGCAAGACAGATTTCCAGATCCGCACAGAAAGAAACAATACAAAGATTAGAAAAGAGATCAGGCAATTGGAGGCACATCACTGAGGCCCGTGGGCAATGAAGTTTCCAACAGAAGAACGGACTTACCAGTAAATAATTTTGCCTTTTTGCACATGTGTGGTTTTCTCTCATGCCGTGATGGTGGCTTGAAGGACAGATTGCAGGTGTATCGAGCAGCAGTCCCCAGAAACAAACTTACATTGCAGTGCCACTAGCAGCATGAAGAGCAGAGAAGGAGGAAAAAGCTGCAGCCAGGTTCCCCTCGCTCCATGTACAGGAGGGGGAAGATGAAAGGGCATGTTTTACGTCCCTCAGAAAGAAGAGGTTCAATGCAAATTATGCCCATGAAGTGAAATTTTATCAAGCCAAATAGCATTAAGCAATTTGAAATCAAGGCACATTGACTTGGTCCTGCATTCAGCACACAGCCTCCATCTCCCTTAGTCATCATCCTTTTAGCCGGAGCTTTGTCCTTGTTGCACCTCTCAAAGCCACAGAAAATTTCTTTAGTTTAGAATAATCAAAGTACCAGAAAGAGGAGGCTTGAGGACAAGTCCTTTCATGTCATCGGGAGAGGGTGGTGTTTTCAGAGATGAGAAGAACAACGAATTAATTTACAGTGTTTTTCAGTATCCCTGCTCCTAATTTTCAGGTCTGGCAGGTCTAGAAACCACGTAGACAACAGAATTAACACTGATTTATCCCTCTTGACCTTCTTCAGCACTGTGAGCGGCCAGAAGAACACAGTTAAGCAACATCATAGCGCTCTGCTCTCTTCCACAAAAACCCTCACCGCAGGAAGCATGAGTACAAGGACTCAAAATAAAATAGAGGAAAGCACGTTGTGCACAATTTGGATCCAAATGCCCAGATCCTACTGGCAATCTGCACTAGTAAAATTAACATGCTCAGGCATATTCGCTGGCCACCGCACAGTCCGTCCTGCAAAACTGTTGGCCTCCCAGAGGAGAGCTGCTCGATCCACCTGCAACCCGCAGGGACCCCACACCGACCTCTCGGCTTCCTCATTTAAGCTCTGCTCTTACCCGCCATGAGCCATGTCCTCGCTCTCGGCCTGGTGCGTGACACGCTGCGTGCCTGTGGCTGCTGGAGGACTGCCCTGAGCCCCCGGGGCTGGTGCACCCACGTGCCTGCTCAGCCCCTGCTCGTGCACACTCTGCAGCGTGCTGGCTTCTGGGGACTCTGCTGCTGCTCCTTTTGTGCTTCTCCTCTGTGCTAGGCAGCCTCTGATGCTTCCTCCAGCCCACGAGAAGACCACATTTCTCCACACCGAAGGAGCAAAAGGCACTGCTCATAGATGCTGCTGCACCCCATGGGGCCAAACACCTGGTTCAGGGGAACCAGTAACATCAAAAATGAGGCTTGATGCCAGAGCCTGGTAGAGGTCAATGGCAATGACAGCTTGGGTCTAAAGTAGCAGCCAGTGCAGGGGCAGTCCGTGTCATACAGGGCAGGGGTCACGCCTGTCCTGTCTGCAAGCCTTGGTATCCCAAAAAGCGAGACACAAAGAGCAGAAAGCCAAGAACTGCATGCAGAGAGGGCCGTCTTTGAGGCTGTCTACAAGGAGCTGTAGAAAGCTCCCACAATCCATCTCAGAGGAAAAAACCACTGACATCTGGGCTGGTGCTGTCCCTAACTCCTACTCGTTACAGGGCAACCATTTTGGTGCCACCAAATCTGTGGCAGCCAGGGTCACAGAAGACTGCAGACATTTCAACAATATGAAGTAGGTCTTGTAATGTCTAGTTCTGTCAACTGTGGCTGTTGTTTTCAAGCTTGCTGCTTTGGAAGAGGTGCAAATTTCTGCTAAGAGGCAAAGCATACAGCACTGCTTTCAAAAGCAGCATCCTCTCCACCTCACGGGTGCTCAGTCTGGTTGCACATGCACTAGCAGACACAAACAAGTGCCTGCAAGAGCCAGTCTTGCTCAGGAGATGCACATATCCAACATGCTTGCTACTGTTACGCTACATTTGTAGGAGACAGATAGTGTCATGCACTCTGATGTGGCTTGCTGCTAAACTGCAGCCTCCTGTCTCTGCTTATTTGTCTGCTGCAATAGTGCCATAACTGAGAAAGCAAGAGACACAGCAAGCCCCAGGTCAGCAAGCATCTGTACCCAAAAATGCATGACTCCCTCATTGTCATCATCCCTTCCAATCCCTCAGTAAGCAAGAAAAACGATTTTCCATTGCCAGAGCTAGCTGGGGATGGTGTCCACTACCACACTGCTTTCCAGCTTAACGTACCTTGGGTTGTGACTGATGATGAGCACAATCATTTCTTTGGGCCCCAAAGCACGAACCCAACCTATTGCTACTTCTGGCTCCCTGAGCAGCCTCTCAAAAGGAGGCACAAAAATAATTTCATCAAGAGATACTTCATAGCTCCTGACCCCATGATTGAGCAATTATCCCACAGAAAAGAAATCCCTTCCAGTGGAAAGAGGGGACCCACTGCAACATACACCTCAATGGGGGCTACACCAAAACTGGAGACAGCTGGGAGACTCCTGCTTCAGAAGCTCACAGAGCTGGTGGAGGTGGGTAAGCTGCTTTGAGCTTCAGGCAGAGGCCTGCAGAATTTACTGACCAAGACAAGTAGGCTGTGTTTGGACCTACATGCTAGAAACTTTTCCCTGTGTGAGAAAGGTGGTGGTCATGAATGCAGAACAAACAGTGATTCCAGCCGAGACATCCCCTTCCAGAGAGAAACCACGTCAACTCTAGGTCTGTGCTTATTATCCTCCCTAATCCTTTTCTCTCCTTATTTTTGTGCCCTCTTTGCTGGCATTTCTGCACTACAGGCAGCAGGAGACAGGAACAACAGCCAGGAAGACTCCATGCTTCTCTGGTTAACGGGCAGACATCAAGTGAGATGGTCTGCTCATGGCTCCTTTCTCAAGAAAGTGGTTTTGTAACATTAAAATACTATTTATCCCTAAAATCTGCTGGTAAAAAACAAAACCAAACCATCAACCCTCCTGTCTCGCAATCCAGTGACACACAGAAATGCAAATATGACCATAAAACATACCTGACGATCAGCAGAAAAAGCAAGGGAAATCCAGGATACTCAGTTGTGAACTCCCTGCGAGCCAAAAATGGCCCTGCAGTGTGCCTCTTACACTGCATTGCTTCATCAAGCTAGGTGTGATAGGGGGCAAACAACAGGCAGCCAGTGCTCAGTGGGAATCAGCAGCAGCACAGGTTAACAGCAAAGCTGAGGAGGACAAGACTGTTTTGCTCGTCAGTCTGGACTGTCTTGTGTCTCCTCTCTCTTCCCCTGACATAAATCCTTTTCATTCCAGCTATCTATCTGCCTTCACACCTGAGCACTGGTCCACCCTCTGGGTAGGGTACAGCTCTACAGTTCCTGGAGATTTTCCCCATCACCTTTTATAACTTTTATACAAACTTTTCCTGAAGTGAAACAGAATAAAGCCTTAAAGATATGCAGGGGCTGGCTTGTCCTGCCCCACTGGTAACTGCCACCAGCTGCCTCCCGCTCACTCCATCAACCGCAGCAAGAGCTCCAGAATCACATTAAACCATTATAAATGTTTCTTTCCAATGATCCTCTTCAAGCCACAGAATGTAAACTTCATCTGCTAATATCACACCACTACTTACATTTTATACTGGCATGCAAAGCAAAAGACATTTTTTAAAACTGTTTTAAAATGGCTACTCTGAAGGAAAATATAACTATAATGAAGCCTGAGAACAGGGAAAAGAGATTCACATAAACATCTCCCAAAATACTCTCTTCTTAACACTTGCTTACATTATAGCTATCTTGTTAACTAAAAGGGCATGAAGAAAGAAATAAGAAACTTGTTCTCAGAAACAAAAAAAAACCCCAACAACTTTCAACTGAGCCACTTACCCTAAATGAGAATTCAAGGTTTTCTCCTCCCCAGACTTCCATTCCTGTGTCATATGAACCAAGATAATCAAAATACTTCTTGCTCACAGCAAACAATCCACCTGCCATGGTTGGAGACCTATAAAAGAGAATAGTAACTCTGAATTGGATAAAAAGCAAAAAATATAAATTAACAAACTGCAGATCAAAAATACAATGTATTTTTATTTTCCATTTTCTCAGTCTTTTCTGGATACAAAGTAACAGTCAGACATTGATCGGTTAAGTAGTATATTGTCAGGCCATTTAAATTTAGTTTTCTAGTAAAAAACTGTATCAGAAACAAGCTCCAGAATGTATTAAAATAAAAACAACAATGAAATCAGAGAAAACAAACATTGTGTTAATACAAATTTTTGCAATTACAGTGTCTTTGTGAGTGGCCAGAAATGACTAGCCTCTTATCTTCACATAGCAGAACATAAGCTTTTTTGTGGCAGAATTATTTTAGTCAGCTCTGAAATTCTAAGTGCAGTACCCTTATATATTTTACTTAAGTAGTAAGTAAACACGTTTGTGCTTTAGTAATTAATAACAACATTTCTGATTCCGCTAATATCAAGTGGAAAAGCTCTCAGACATCAGCTGAGCAGAATTAAGTAAATAGAGCCCCTGAAGAGATTTTTTTCTTTCAAAGATCTGCCCATTTGGTTTTTTTTTTTAATTGTTTGCTACATTTGGAAGAAAAATCAGGGGCCAAGATTGGATCCTCACTGAAGACCACAAGGCCTAGAGCGAGAGCACACTTAGGGGATGTACTTTCAGTAGGGTAGAGTGTGCATTTATATATAAAGTTGAATTTGTTCATTATTGTTCGTAATTGTTTACAGTCTTAGAAAATTACCCTCTTTAAAATGCCAAGCATATAATGCCGGTTGGAACTAAATTCAGCTGACACTTCATGAATTTTACTAAATTGCTGTTGAGGTAAATAATAACAAATGCTACGTGCAGTGATCAGTTACTCTTAATCTGTCAAAACTAATTTTATCAGCCATCTTTTTGAAGCAACACTGTCTTACACTGTCATACATTGTTTCAAAGAACGGAAAGAGATGAGGTGAGACAGAAGGAAAAAAACCGAACAAAACCCAAACTCCATAGCCAGTCAAGCTCTTCTGTCTCACTCCAGATCCTGTCTTTCCAAACACAGCTGCCGGTGACACCACCCTCAGCGCTGCTGCTTTCCCCAGACACTTGCCGAGCTCACAGTTCTCGGGCAACTGTGAAGCTTTATCCCTCATCGTTTTCCCCTTGGCATGCCAAAGACAATTCTTCTTGTCAGGGAGAAGAAATGCATCACATTTAAACTAAAGGCTTTGAAAACATTTACTCTATTTTGAAACTTCTTTTCCGGAGGATGTGGACTAATATATGCTGAGGAGGACTAAATTATTGCCTCAATTTTCCTATTAAAAAAAAAAAAAAGTTCTCTTCTCTCAGTTGAGGATAAATTCACTAATATTTGTGAAGTAATGGGTATTATTACCATGATAAGCCACCTAGAAAAGACTGAGAAAATTCTGAGAGAATTCTGTATTTGTTGTAGTCCCTAAGATAACAGATTATAAATAAAAGCAAGGACTAACAAAATCACGTTGTTAAAAATGCCAAACAACTCTTTCATTTCTTACAATACACTACTGAAATACAGCAACTTCCAAATTGAGTGTAGCAGACCCTCAGCTCTCAGGATTTTGCCTACAGTGTCCATCTTCCAGATGCACTGTTTGTACTCTTACCTTACCTCTCCTAAAAATACAGTATGGAGTGACAGGTAATACCAACAGATTGCAACTTGTCTTAAAATAAAACAAAACTAAAACCCACAAGGAAGACATCCGCATGAGCTCCTATGAATTAGCCCTTCACAGAAATTATGGTGGGTAGAGCTGTATCATTTCATCCCAATGAAGAACTGGCAACCTGGTTCACCTTTGAAAACAGAGCAATGAACCACCACTATCACTATAGCGCAGATACAGTTTTCAAAACTACTTTTGCCTTCTTACTGGTTGATTATTTTTTTTCCCTTTTTCATCATCGACCATGATACGTTTTTTACAAGGCGGATCTCTTTACTTTGCACACAGGATATCCTTTAGTACTAGTTAATCAGTTACAACCTTTCCGTGTGCTGATAAGCATCTGTGGCAGTTTGCCTGCAGGAGGCCAGAGACTGCTTGTGCAATAAGGATTCCATATGGAAGATTACACAGGCATTTCAACTTTTAGAGCAGTATTTTTTCAGGAGCATGGTGAGCAGGAGCTATTTTGGAAAAAAGGGGAACTAAACAAGGTAAGTTATTTTAGTAATATGCTCATTTCTCAAATATTTTTCAGCACCTGGCATTTCCAAGTGAAGTCAAAAGCACTTGTAACATTCACAGCTTCATAAGATGCAAAAAAATTAACCTGATCACATCAGTTTTGGACTTCCTCCGTTTTTGTTCTCTTTCAGGGGTACTGTGCCAAGTGAAGACCAGTCTCCAGTCAAATCCACCGATCTGTGGCTCACCAGCATTTCCCAAGTACTCAAACGTATTCCAGTCAATAACATCAATAACAGGGCAGACAACAGCTGATTCTTCTTCCGCAATCCTAATATGATTTTAAAAGAAAAGGGTGACTTCCATTAGAAATGTCTCTCAAAAACTAAGACTGTCAAGAACAGAGAATGCTTACAAATACCAAACACAGAGGTTTTGCTCCTTTTCAACTCATGCTGCAATACAAGTAAAGGACAGCTACAAGAATAACCACCAATTTCTTGCTGAGGATGCATCAGGAGGATGCATCAGGATGGACTCAGCTGTAGGCACCTGGCAAGCATCAGTCTTCCCGGACAGTGGAAGTGAGGTATACCAGATGGCTTGAGATAACACATTCAGCATCTGGCTTGGCTGCCATATCCAGCACCGCATTCTCAACAAAAACATCTATTTTGTTTTGTGCAGGTAGCTGCATTCAAGATATTTAGAAAGCAGCATGACTATCATTCTGCAAGGATGAATAAGGTAGCTAGGCTCTTGGCTCATGGTTGTTCTTGTAACTGTCATCATCTGCAAAAAGTTATACTGAGCACCAAAACAGTAACTCAAGAGCAAGCCATGAGCTTAAACAGAAAAAAAAAAAAAAAACAATCATGCAACACAGGAATTCTGATTCTAATCTCCAACAGTGAAACACACATGAAGGAGGCCTCCAGAAACCCTGACAACATAGGAGATAAAAAGGAGAAACAAGATAGTACTGCAGAATGACATACCTATCAGCAAAGCTGATGTAAAGATAGTTATGATCTTTATCATATTAAGAATACTGATGGCTAATTGGCTATAGCTCAAGCTTTTCTCCTAAATCACTCTTTAGCAATCTTCTCAACACTAGTCTTAAACACCTCGTGTTAGTTCGGTGAAAAACTGACTTGACTGACTTTAAGATGCTGGTACTTGTTTTAGCCCTGCATCTCCTGATTTGGGTATTCCAGAGGAGAAGAAAAACTGAACACATTATATTGCCAAACAAGGAAGAGACCTGATGTATCTGTCATTCGAGGGGAGCCAGTTCCTCATGCGATTATTAAGCTTAAAACCCGCAGGCTGACCAAGGGGCTCTGACTCTGAAATTAGAGCAGCTTGTGGTGGTTAAATGCAGCAGAGAGCAGCAGCAGTTCTAAAGAAGTATTGTCTGAGCTGAGAAAGACTGCCTTAAATATGAAATGGTCCCTTGTTGCCAGAGGGAAGATGTGACACAGCTGTTTTCTTCTTTATGATCTCCCATTGAAATCCTGTTTGGTGGAGCGCACAAAAGGGCTTATACAAATATTGCTATCTCCTGTCTCGCTTGCATAAAGCTTATGTACGAAGCAAGGAGAATGATACGTACACAGAGGAAAAGAATTCCCAATAAAATGTAAAAATGCTTTGTTGCTCCTGTAAGGGAAAAGGAGTGAAAATTAGGTATCTGGCACATGATTTCAGTTATGAAAGGAATCAGGTAAGTGAAAAGCCATCAGCTTTTCTGTAAGTTAAGAATTAACTAGACGGTACAACGCACAAGCAGCTTACAAGTACAACTAAGTTTACACTGCAAAATGCTAACACTGTTGAATTGCTTCCATACATTTGAGTCCAGATATGCCATGCAAACATTCCCTTAGAGATGTACGTCTGCATCTGCAGCAAGAAGAGCAAAAATTCCAAGGCACATCCAGGGCTAACTTTTTACAGAAGGTGATTTAGTACACTTAAAATTATCCAAATCCTTCCTCAAGATTGCCATCTAGTGGTTTGCTAAAGAAGTGCAGAAATTACAGAACCGTCTCCACAGTTATGTACTGTTTCTTCAGAGGACGGTCGTTAAAACCATGCTTATTCTTTGATTTTTACCCCTTTTCCTTTCTTCACACTATCTACACCGTTCATAGTTAACCCACAGTTATCTGGAATATACTCGGTATGAAATTTAGAAACAAGTTAAATATGTCATTTTCACAAAAAAAAAAAAAAATATTCCAGACACAATTTCAAATGGACACAGGGAGTTTGAGAACAAGTTCCACTAGAAATCAGAAGACCTGCATGCCTCAAGACAGCATTGCTTTTGGAAATCTCTCTCCAGTTGGAGAGAGATGGATTAGCTCAGGACTGGGAAGACTGAGTTTCTTGACTAATCTGCCCACGTGTATGTTGCCCTGCAACAGGGGATGTCTCAGGGCACACATCTTTCCAGACCTTCTCATCCACCACCCAGGCCGACAGAAGTGGCCACCCTTCCCAAGGTAGCTTCAAAGCTGGGGGAGGATTCCTCTTCCTGAAAACAAAACTTTCCCTTCTCTGAAGAAAAAGAGCAGCCTGGTCCTCAGGAGAAACCAAAAATCCACCTCCTGATCTTCCACGCTTCCATTCGCTATCCCACGGCCAGGAAACAAACACTGGCAGTGCCCCAGGGACCAGGCTGCAGTAACCTTCGGTAAACAGCTACCAAGAGCCATTTTTCCACTGCAGAAGTGTGCCAAATCGTCTCTTCTCCTTCTGCAGCGGGACAGAAAACCAGCCCAGAGCATAACCTCACCTTGCCAGCAGTGGCTCCAGCCAGCCCTCGTGGCATTCGCAGTGGCAGTCCAGGAAGGTCAGGATGTCTCCTTTCGCAACAGACGCCCCCAGCAGCCGGGCTCGAACCAGCCCCTCTCGCTTATTTGCACGGATAAGACGCACCTTGCGTAAGCCAGCCACGTAGTTTTCCAAAGCCTCCTTTAAATGTTCTGTTAACAAACAAATAAAAAAAGAAAAAAAGAATATAGTTCTGGAGTGACTGGTTTGCGTCATGCTACAGAAAGCTCTGTTTTCAGTAGTGTATTACTTATAGCAGTGCCTTAAAGATACCAGCATTTTGAACTCTGATTCTGCTATACTGTCTACGTTAGGAAAGGACAAGGAAAAAGCACAGAACATAGATGGACACAAATCACAATTACTTTCAAGAAATTGAACGCTTCGTATTCACCTCTGTAATTCACTTCCAAATTGTTAAGTGCTTCTCAAATGTTACATACAACGTTTTCCATGTAAAAGTTTTATTCTTAACACAATTAATGTGTATGGAAAACGCCAGCATTGTCTTAGTGTCCCATAATTCAAACGAAAACAGATAACCAGGTAGCTCTCACTATACTAGACATCATGGCAACCCTGGAGCAATCAAAACTTGCTCAAATTAGGGAACTCGAAATACTCTGACCAGACTGTATGTTATCTATATATGCGAGCACTCATGTTACAACACAGCAGAGGTGCTTCCCCATTCTAAACTAAATTTGGTCCAGAAGTCAAATTTTTCACTGGCACGCTACAAGAAAAACTATTTTCCAATTATATGCCTACGTTGTACAATTTTATGGTATGTTACCCAAACAGCCTATGTTTTTCTCCTGTGGACTGGTTGACCAAAAAAACCCCATCAACCACCAACATTATTTAGAATTATTCTTCCTACCTTTGTCACTGTAATCATCTACAAGGATAATTTCTTCCAAAAGTATATCTGGAGATGTCTCAAGAACGCTATGAACAGTTCGCAGAAGTGTTGACCAAGCCTCATTATAAAACGCTATCACAACGGAGGTTTTCGGCAGGCTATAATAATCATACTTTTTCTCCCTGCATCTGTAAGGGAGGGGATTACATTTAGTACAAGTGCAAAAGCATCTGTTAATTTTCAGAAAACTATTCTCGAATAAAGATTTCATATGCTATTTACTAACTGTAAGCAAGAACATATAAAACATCTGAAAAGAACTGTATGTACGTGGAAAAGTCATGCAAACACTTCCAGGAAGCCGGTCTTCCAGAAGTCCCATTTCTGCAGCAGTATTATGACTAAAATTCTGCAACCCCCCAAAATGCCTCAAAAGAAAAATAATAGGAGGTATTCTGGGGTAGTGTATCTGCAGTAGCTGCCTTTGCACAATACTACCTCAAGAAGAAGAAAAAGCAATGGCCAAAACATGCCTCAGATTACAGAAAAAAAAAAAAAAAGGAAACATAAAACCTAAATGCGGTAAAAACAGTAGCATAAATTACTAATAACTTGTGCTTTGGAAAATAAAACAAGTGCTAGACAGTAAAAATATAACTGTGAAGGAACAGCAACATATAAAGAGAAAAAAAACAGCAACAGAACTGAGACGTATGTATACTGAAGCAGAACTTGGGAAGACCACAGAACTGCCAAGATATAGTAGTGAAATCTGCAAAAAACACAGACAGACATAGAAATGCATGGGTTTGGCTCTATGGAGAGCCAGGAAGTTTGCAACCCTTTGGATTAAGCTCCAGAACATATTTCCTATAAATATATATATATATATATGAAGTTCCCAAAATGAATGTAAGGATACCAAGAAACTTACAGCTGAGCCAAATGTGTAAATTGTTAAAGATTCCCCTGGTCTGAAAGAATTTTAAAATAATGACGGTATTTATTACCATTTCTTCCCCCTTTCTTAGAGCATTCTGGATGAACAGTTTTGTTAAAAACCAACAGAAATCATAGAATAGAATCATAGAATCACCAAGGTTGGAAAAGACCCTTAAGATCATCGAGTCCAACCATTAACCT